CCTGGATGGGATGCAAGTCCATTGCAGGGTCACCCTCCGGTATTTAATTTGTTGGTACCCATTTATACACCAGGGTGGAGAGAGGCACTGTGATAGTTAAGTGTCTTGCCCAAGAACACAACACTATGTTCCCGGCCGGGGCTTGAACCTGAACTGCTTGATCGGGAGACAAGTGCACTAACCATGAGGCCACAGCGCCTCCCAGAAAGGGTTTGAGTGGTATTAATTAGATATAATCTAGGAAATTATGTTGTGTTGTCTAAGACAAGTGCTGGAAAGGATAGTGTAACCTCAATGGTAGTAATTATGTTTAACTCCGTACTTGACAACTGTGCTCTACATCACTTGTATAAATCTGTTACAGACATCTGGATGTTTTCATGGTGAAGCCGTTTTCTGTGGCTGCTCTCACTTGGTGTTTGCTTTTATTTTATAAGGTTCTGCCCAACTCTCAAATTTCTTTTTGGGATTTTAGTTCTGCTATAAACGTTAATTCTCAAAGCTTAGTCAAATGACCATACTGAGCTGAAGCATTGTTATTAGCAAAATACAGTGTATGTTACTAGCAAAATAAAAAAATTGAATATTTGAATTTAATGGGTTTGAAAATGTTAAATTCAAATATTCTATTTTTTATTTTGCTAGTAACATATTTTGCTAATAACAATGCTTCAGCTCAGTATGGTCATTTGAGTAAGCTTTGAGAATTAATGTTTATAGAAGAACTAAAATCCCAAAAAGAAATATGAAAGTTGGGCAGAACCTTTAAATTAATTATAGATGGCATGGAAAGAAGGAGAATCCAAGCCTCCTTTATTGGAGTGCCCTACATTGAACATTTGATTTCTGTACCTTCAGCTTCCATGAGACAAACATTGTGCTGATCATGATGGGTGTCACTACTGTAAGTAACTATAATTAATTAATTTGTCCATTTGATGCCGTCCTATTTAAAAAGGTTAAGCTAAGATGTGCTAACTTCACAGTGCTATCAGGGTGCTCAGAAGTTTTTCAAGGCTTGGTGATTCTGCTGTTGGGCACGTGGATTCCCTCCTTTGCTTGCCTGATGGGCAAGTAAAAATCTTTGGGACAAGTTTGTAAAGAAATTCAAATTAAAGATGTATTGTAAGAGATATAATTATTGTATTAAATTATTCATTCAATTTTGTATTGATTTTAAAATCATGCTAGTAAGGAATTTTTTGGCAACTAGTGTAAATGACTTTTGGGGTAGGACATCGTTGATAGTTATAGGGCTGCAAGGGCAAGCTTGTAAATTTGGTTTTCTTTGCACCCTGGTGGCAGTAAGAGGTAAAGTGAAATGGCTTCAAGTTGATGATGTTTTATTGTATTT